ACACAGCCCCTACGCCAATTCCGGATGCATCACACTCAAGTTCGAAGACTTTGTCAAAGTCCAGGAGGACTAGGACGGGTGCACTCGTGAGCTTATCCTTCAAGGCATTGAATGCCTTTTCTTGCGCCTCTCCCCATTCAAATGGCTTGTCCTTCTTTATGATAGACGTGAGGGGTGCAGCAAGGCTGCTGAAATCTCGCACAAAACGACGGTAAAAACTTGTTAAGCCATGGAAACTTCGAACATGGCCAACGGTAGTTGGTGTGGGCCACTCTCGAATAGCTTTGATCTTTTCTTCGTCCACGCTTAATCCCTGCGAACTCACAACAAATCCTAGAAAAACAACTTCATTAGTGCAGAATGTGCACTTCTTGAGGTTCACATATAGCATCTCTCGACGGAGAGTCTCCATCACGAGCTCAAGATGTGTCACATGTTCGGTAAAACATTTGCTATAAACCAAAATATCATCGAAATAAACAACAACAAATTTACCGATGAAAGCACGTAAGACGTGGTTCATGATTCTCATGAACGTGCTTAGGGCATTGGTAAGGCCAAAAGGCATGACGAGCCATTCGTACAACCCTTGTTTTGTTTTGAATGCGGTTTTCCACTCATCTCCTTCACGCATACGTACTTGATGGTAACCACTCTTTAAATCTACCTTTGAGAACATGGTTGCTCCACTCAACTCATCTAACATATCATCTATTCGTAGAATGGGATGACGGTACTTGATGGTGATGTTGTTTATCGCTCTACAATCAACGCACATGCGCCACGTCCCATCCTTCTTCGGTACGAGCAAAATCGGCACTGCACAAGGACTTAAGCTTTCACGTATATAACCCTTAGATAATAACTCTTGTACCTGCTTTTGGAGTTCTTTAGTTTCCTCTGGATTCATACGATAAGCGGGACGATTCGGTAGAGGTGCTCCCGGTACGAGATCAATTTGATGCTCGATCCCTCGAATTGGTGGCAATCCCGCGGGTGTCTCCTCGGGAAAAATGTCTTGGAAACATTCCAAGAGTCTTGTGATCTCCGGAGGGTGCACAATCTGTTCGGAGCCTGTACTCAAAGCATCTTTGAACAACATTAGTAAAACCAAGTGGTCATTGACTAACGCTTTACTTATCGTACTCGGTTTTACATAAAAATTTGTCTTTTTGTCGTCGCTTTCCTTTGACAACTTCACTTGCATCTCATGAACCTGCGATGGACTAAGGGGAGCCAACGATATCTTACGTTTGTTATATACGAATGAATAATGGTTAGTCCTACCATCATGTTTCACCTCTCGATCGAATTGCCATGGTCGTCCAAGAAGAATGTGTCCGGCTTGCATTGGAACCACATCACATAATACTTCATCTTGGTATCTCCCAATGCTAAATGAAACTTTCACTCTCTCATTTACCTTAAGTTCACCTTTGTTGTTAAGCCATTGTGACTTGTACGGATGAGGATGCTTCTCGGTTTCAAGCCTTAGTTTCTTTACCATGTAGGCACTCGCAACGTTAGTACAAGAACCGCTATCAATAATTAAACCACATACCTTGTTCCTCACGGTACAACGACTGTGGAATATGGTCTCTCGTTGTGCAGTTTCTTCCGGATTTGTCATGGCGCTTAAAACGCGTCTCGTCAATAACTCACCACTATCCGGGTATTCGATCTCTTCTTGTACTTTCTCGACTTCATCCTCGTCCATTGATTCATACTCTCCCGCATCGGTGAGGATCATGACTCGATTGTTCGGGCAATCCTTAGCATAATGTCCATGTCCCCTACACTTGTAGCAAACAATCTCTCGAGTTCGAAGGTTAGTAGTGTTCGATTTACTTACCTTTGTATCCTCCTTATAAGTAGCCACGGATTTCCCCTTGGGCTTAACATGAGTTTCGTCCAGACTTGGTCGGCTCACATCGGTGGAAACGCCCTTGTACTCGGTTCGGTGTGTCGGAGGATTCGGTGCGGTCATCTGAGCTCGGTTTACCCGAGTTTGCTTCTTGTTGATTTGTTGTTCAATTTGTATTGCCATATGAAGTAGTTCCTGCAACTCATGGTAAACTAATCTTTCTACCTTGCGAGAAATTCGTTCTTGCAGTCCATTAACAAATTGTGCCATCACCGCTTCCTCGCTTTCGTCCAATTCCAATCGGTTCCGAAGATATTCAAATTCTTCGAAGTAATCTTCAACTGACCTAGATCCTTGCAATAGAGTACGATATTTCTTCTGTAACTCTCGATGAAAATGAGGTGGAACATACCTTTTTCTCATCATAAGTTTCATCTCACGCCATGTGGAAATTGGTTCGTAGCGTGTTCTCCTCCTTTCCGCTACTTCACGATCCCACCATGCTAGTGCATTGTCGGTGAGTTGTGCCGCAGCATATTGCACCATCTTGTGCTCCGAATACTCATAACACTCAAAAATATTATCCATACGCCTCTCCCAATCGAGATAGGCATCCGGGTTAACACGTCCAGCAAATGTAGGTAATTTAAATTTTAGATCGTTACCGTTTTGTCTTGCACGACGTGGTTGTTCTCGATAGAGATCATCGTCCTCATCATCTTCTTCAATTAGGACGTGGTTCCTGCCTTCTCTACGTCTTGGAGGACATTCAACAGGGGTTCTTTCTCGTTCTCATAGAGGTTCTTTGCGTCGGATGTTGAAATGAGGAAAAGGACGTGGTTCCTGGCTTCTCTACGTCTTGGGTGACATTCAACAGGGGTTCTTTCTCGTTCTCGTAAAGGTTCTTCACGTCGTGGAAGGTTGGCCCGAATAGGTTCCGACCTCCTTGGTGATTCCTCTAGACGTGCCAACCGCTGTCGACAGTTTTGTAGGATTTGTGCTAATGCGGCATGGCTAGTCTCTCCTTCTCCCGTCATTCTTACTTCTTTATTTTGATTTTTTCAAAGAGTTTTGATTAAAAGAAACACAAACAGAACACAAACACAAAGCAAAACAAAGTAGGAAGAGATGTAGTGTTACCTCTTCACCGGTGGAACTGTTTTTGTGGTTTTCGGTTTTCTTCAAAGAAAAATGGTGAAATCTAATTAAAATGATTGTACAACACAAAGAGAGATACTTTACCTTAGGTGGTCCTTGAAAAGAGCTCTGATACCAAAAATGGTACACGCACGGAGCCAAGGAAGTCTCGCTCGTTTCCTTCGGTGAAATGCGGTTTGTACGTGCGTGTCTTATGTTGCCTTTGGGTAACGAATGAAACTAGCTCGAAACTAGGGGATACTTGGAGACTCACTAAGGTATTCCTATGGTTAGATTTCAAGAGGATATCCAGGCCAAAGGGCACTCGGAGTCCTTAGAAATCAACACACAAGTCGGACTAAAACAGAGCACTCGAGAGCACTCGGTTTAGGTGATAGATGGAAGGGAAGTTCCAGGCCAAAGGGCACTCGGATGATTCCCAATTTTTGATGGAAGATAGGGGTATGAAAGAGGATTAAAAGGAGCTAACCCAACCTTGAATCCACCACGGTTTGGCCTTGCACAAGGGTGACACACACACACATGCGCAGAAGGCGATACTCTCGGACACACCAAGAAGAAGAAGCAAATATGCAACTCGATTTCTATCAATTCAAAGTCTGCTCACTCTTGACATACAAGGGCCTTTAAATAGGCTTGAAACACAGAAGAAAGCAAGAGAAATTCGTGCATAAGGAGGAGCTAACAAAACATTAAAGAAAGGTAATGGAAAACAAGACACCATAAAGTAAGGAAAAAGTGGAAAGTTGGTGGAAGTGGATGTGTAACGTCTTGCAACGGCTAGGAGGCTTAAAGAAGTTCATGAGGTTGAAATCATGTAGAAAACATCCCCAATTCGTGCTTGCTAAAGGTGGGCCGAAATTGGGTTCAACGGTGGTCACATATTCTCTCCAATGGGTTGCTATCTTCTTGGACTTGTGTAGAATATGTTTGTGCTCTTTGGGCCTGGATCTTCAGCCAATTTATTGAGAATACATTCTTCAAATATCTTTTTAGAAGCCCAGGTGTTAGTCCACGAAATCTTAAGTGTTGGACAACACAAACTCCAAGACATTGCAATGGTTTGTGGTTGTTGCCGCTATCGTGTCCTTTGCATTGTATGGCCCCTTGTCGGATGTTTTGATCAGCCATTCTTCAACAAATGCAACGTAGGCTTCGAGTCCTTTGTCTTGTGAGTGGAGGTATGGGAATGGTTGGCATGGTAAGCTCGGTGTTCACTTCTTCTCCTCCTATAACGTCTATGGCATCGTCTTGCTTCTCGTTCGGGTTTTGTTCGTCACGTCCATGTCTTGGTTGATGTCCTCATCACGAACGAACGCTATCATAATCCCTAGGCAAATATTCATCTCTCAATGCAATACCTGTTCTATTTATTGAGTTATTTCCAGGTTAGAATCCCATATGTCTATGCGAATTAAAACCCTAAGTTCATTCAATCAAGTGGCCAACAAGATTAAACGCATTAAACGCAACTCAATAAACCGAAAGAATAAATAAAACCACAAAGTCTGGAATTAGAAACCAAAGATCCCTACATAGCAAATCACAAACCTATAGCAAAAGAACTACTCGCTAAACATCGAGACGTCAGGGTTCATATCAATACAACAAAACATCGTAAAATAGAAGGAAAGAGGAACGCTTAGTCGATTTCTCGGCTTCGTGATCTCCGTCTTCTACTCCGATCTCTTGTTTCCTAATAATCGCCTCCTTTTGTGTGCTCTAGGGTGTATTCTCTGTGTAAGGCTTGAATTATTTTTGACCTAGAGGCTTTCCCCTCTTATTTCACTTCGGTTTGGGCAAAATTGGAAGTTTTCCCGAATCTAGGGGTCGAACCGATCGTTTCGGCAAAGCCAAACCGATTGGTTACACTTTCTGAGCAATTTTCCAATTTCTGCGATGCCGAACCGATCGTTTCGCTAAACCCAAACCGATCTTGTCATGTTTCTGAGCAGTTTTGACGGGCTTCACGAATTCGTTCATAACTTCCTGCCCGATATCGGATTTGGGTGATCTTGGTGTCTATGCGTAGATATCGAAGAGAGCTTTCCAATGATGTAGAGAATGTATGATTTGGACTTGTAGAGTGAATGTTATCGGATTTGCAAGATCTGACGTTTCCTAAGCTTCACGTTTTCCCTGGAAACACTCCAAATGTTCCCGTTTCGTCCGTGATGTTCCGTAGCCCATGTTTTCCACTCCCTTTGCTCTTTATATGCGTGAAAACCTGTTTAAACACCACAGAACACAACCATGCAATATCGAAGCCAAATGTGCCCTAGAATGCCTAAAATTTGTAAAATAGAGTGAAATATGCTAGACATCCTATATCAAAACGTCACCCAAAATACGTGTTATCAAACTCCCCCAGACTTAATCCTTTGCTCGTCCTCGAGCAAATACTATGTGAAAAACAATCTGAAAGGAGGGCGAGACAATGAAATAATTCAAAATGATAATCGAGAGCGAAACCTCTATCCGACCTAGATCCCCGTGAACAATGATCAAATCTGTCTAATATGATCTCCCTCTCTAAAGGATAATCTTTCGTAGCCATTGGATCTATACCGCTACCTAGAACCAATCCAAGAACTTCAATCATCTACCTAGCATGTTTCTCGAACCTATTACACCATTCTAAATCGTATCTAGTCTACGCTTTCGGCATTCATTCTTTTTCTCTTTCTCTCCTTTTTTTTCATCTAGATAGACTTTCTTTCTTTTTTTTTCTTTTGTAGCATCTCGGGTTCCTAGGACGTTGAAGTTGAAGAGTTCCTAATCAATTTTGTTTTCGATTTTGTTTATTGGATAACCCGACCCACAACTTAGACCCGAACCATCAAATCGATGCACTCATGTCTTCGAACGATTTTCGTTGACGAGATAATGACAGCGGAGTGTCGAGATGCTCACTATATTTTTTCTGCACATGAAGAAATAAAAATGCATTTGATAACAAACATTACCGATTTCAGCAAACATGGGAAAGGTTCTTATAGAAACTTCTACTTGGCTAGACAACATCGGTCTCACGGGTTCCAACCAACGATTTCTACCCCACAAGCCTTTCTAGATAATCCTAAAGGTCAAGCAATCAATTCAACAAAATTTAACCACGTTCAACGGATCACAATGTTTTCAGGACGTTTCTACTCTCTCATGCCATAGATCATCATATCAATGCTCAAAACAGTTTTATGCACGTGATCTTATATGTCCTAAACACTATATGAGAATGCACAATCCTAACAACAAACTATATGATCCTAATGCATCCTATATGCACATGCAACTAAAAAGTGAAAATAAAAGGGAAAAATGCATGCAACATTACTCTATATGAATATGGTTTGGCGTTAGGCGAATCCTCCCCCAGACTTGAACTGGACACTATCCTCGGTGTCAATTCTCGTCTAGTAAAGGCAACCAATAAGATGAGTCAAAAGAGAAACAAATCAAAAAGGGAAAAGAATACTTAGCTCGCGATGGTCGTCCACTCACACTTAAGTTTGCCTACGTCTATCGCATAGCTAGCTTCCTTACCTCTTCCATAGCTCCTCATTAGAACTCAACCTGGTGATAAAAGACACAAACCAAAAAGAAAAAGAAAAGAAAGGAAAGAAAAACTAACCTAAGAGCTCGGGTTGCCTCCCGGGAGCGCTTGTTTAAGGTCGTTAGCTCGACTCGTCTTGCTCATGTGGGAGGGGGTTCAGGGGGAATGCTTCTTGGAGGAATGGTTTGAGGTGGAATGAGATTAGATGGGACAAACTCACCCGACTTGGTATGGCTTCGATCGATGTGATGTAGTTCTTCATTTACCTTATCGATCGACCGAAGATTGAGTGGTGCAAATTGGGTGTAAGGATGAAAGTCCGATGGAAGAGGTAGTGGATCTCCTTGGATATCAGTTTGGGGGACTGCATGACCCAAGATGGGAATGGTCTCAGATGAGTAAACAACCAGTTCAACCTTATGTGATTTTACCTCGAATTTTCTCTTTTGTGAGCATGGTTGATCAAACTGAACGTCTTCCTTGTGTTTCTTTAGGCGTGAAGGGAACAGAACCAGTGGTGGTCTTGGCGGTGGAGGCACATATTTCGGTTCTGTCTCTTCGTACTTCGTCCTTAAATGCTCATCTGCGATCAAAAAGTCAGGCGTATAATCCAAATAAGCATTAGAACACTCACCTTTCTTGATGACTCGTGGTGTGACTAACTCATATTGCTCTTCAACCTTCAATGGTGTGGTGTTAAGGTACTCTTTAGAATCCATTTCTGGTTCTTCCGTGAGAGTTTCTTGCGACCAAACCGATGAGGAGATAAGATTAGCGAGTCGATTGTTGATGAGCTCGAGTCGCGAATTCACATCCATCAAGAAGCCCTTTAGCTCATTATTATCATTCTCCACTTTCTGCAAAACCTGAACAAGCATGGAGTTTATGTTAGAATCTGCCTCTTGCTGAGTTTGAAGTAGTGGATAAACGTGTGCCTCCTGAGGTGGTCCTTCAAAATGGTAGTATGCCTCATAACCCTGATCGAAATGTAATGGGGTTGTAGGCTGATATGTCTGGAATTGATAGGATCCCCGATTCTGATAGTAGTTGAAATCCCACTGTTGAGCATCCGAAGCATATGAATCATAGGAGAGGTCGGGATATTGCGTCCAATCCAAATCATAAGGATCGGGGTACGGATCATCCATGTAATATATAGCTCATATCCTCAATTCTCTACTCATGCTCTAAAAAGGGCGTACCTGCACAAACAAAGGAAGACAAAGAGAAAAGGAGGCGAAGGGAAAGAAAAAAATAAAAAGAAAAAGAAAATAGACCCAGACCAGATAGGATCTAATATTGTTACTTAAATTGTCCCCGGCAACGGTGCCAAAACTTGATGTCGTAAATCTAGGTGTATAAATTTGATCAAGTAATAATATCCTAGACTCAACAATTAACCGCAAGTGTACGGATCGTGTGTAGCAACTAGGGTCGAACACAGGGACAAGTAAACAACTGATCAGATTCCAATCCAAATCTAGATCTAGAGAAAATATGAGAATGATGAGAATGTATCAAAAGCAAATAATAAAAACAAACGATAAACTATCAATGACAAAACACTGCATGCTTCGGGATTGCTTTACATGCAAAGGTCTTTCAAAAGATGCAAACTCAGTGGTTTATCTATCCGATTCAGGGAATTCAAGCTCTAAAGTAGAGATTAACCCTCTTGAGTCCAACCTCACTATCCAGGCTTTATCCTACTAATCTCTCGATTCAATAGTCTAAAACCCTGGATGCATGAACGAACGCTATCATAATCCCTAGGCCAATATTCATCTCTCAATGCAATACTTGTTCTATTTATTGAGTTATTTCCAGGTTAGAATCCCATATGTCTATGCGAATTAAAACCCTAAGTTCATTCAATCAAGTGGCCAACAAGATCAAACGCATTAAACGCAACTCAATAAACCGAATAGAATAAATAAAACCACAAAGTCTGGAATTAGAAACCAAAAGATCCCTACATAGCAAATCCCTAACCTACAGCAAAAGAACTACTCGCTAAACATCGAGACGTCAGGGTTCATATCAATACAACAAAACATCGTAAAATAGAAGGAAAGAGGAACGCTTAGTCGATTTCTCGGCTTCGTGATCTCCGTCTTCTACTCCGATCTCTTGCTTCCTGATAATCGTCCCCTTTTGTGTGCTCTAGGGTGTATTCTATGTGTAAGGCTTGAATTATTTTCGACCTAGAGGCTTTCCCCTCTTATTTCACTTCAGTTTGGGCAAAATTGGAAGTTTTTCCGAACCTGGGGGTCGAACCGATCGTTTCGGCAAAGCCAAACCGATCGGTTACACTTTCTAAGCAATTTTCCAATTTCTGCAATGCCGAACCGATCGTTTAGCTAAACCCAAACCGATCTTGTCGTGTTTCTGAGCAGTTTTGACGGGCTTCACGAATTCATTCATAACTTCCTGCTCCGATATCGTATTTGGGTGATCTTGGTGTCTATGCATAGATTTGGACTTGTATAGTGAATGTTATCGGATTTGCAAAATCTGACGTTTCCTAAGCTTCACGTTTTCCCTGGAAACACTGCAAATGTTCCCGTTTTGTCCGTGATGTTCCGTAGCCCAAGTTTTCCATTCCTTTTGCTCTTTTTATGCGTGAAAACCTGTTTAAACACCAAAGAACAAAACCATGCAATATCGAAGCCAAATGTGCCCTAGAATGCCTACAAATATGTAAAATAGAGTGAAATACGCTAGACATCCTATATCAAAACGTCACCCAAAATACGTGTTATCATGTTTCGAGGGAAATTTTGTCCAGATCGAGGGCAGAAAGAGAGAGATCGAGCTGGCGGTACGTTTTCCGTGGTTCCTATTTGTTTTGTCTCGATATCGATGTTTTGGACATCGATATCGATGTTCTCAACGTCGATATTACTTTAGATATGGAAAAGTTCAGATCTGGATGTTTTAACCTCGATATCGACATTATGAAACCTCAATATTTGTGAAGATCTCAGATCTAGGATTTAGTTTGGATATCGAACTCCAGAAACATCGATATCGATATTTTGGAACCTCGAGATTTCTAGAAATCCCCAATTTCAATCACGGATCAAATCTCGACGTTCTAGAACATCGAGATTTCTGAAAATATCCAATTTCAGATCCAACGCAAATCTAGATGATCTTGAACCTCGATATCGAGGTTTCCAAACATCGAGATTTCTTAAAAGTTGCCAGAAAATATGATTTTTCGCGTTTTTTCTCCTTTCCGATCACTTTTGGTCCTTTTCTAGCAACGTATGCTTGTGATGCATGAAATTAAACATGCTAATGCAATGCAGTTGCATGGGTTGCCTCATGATAACTCCTATTTTTCTCTATATTTTGATAAGAGTTTGTCTAGGTTTTACGGGATAATCACATGCATTCATAGACATTCTAGGCGTGTTAGGACACAAAACCCGATTGTGCTTTAATTTTACAGCTTACAGGTTTCGAAGATATTGGACTCGAAAAGGAGCTATTTGGAGCGTTAAAGGACAAGTCCGGATGAGGTACTCATGTTGCGACATCAATAACTTTCTCTACAGAGGTCCAAATCGTAAGAGACTCATATCATTGGAAAGAGCACTTCAAGAGCTTCGCGTAGACACCAAAATCGCGTAAATCCGACACCGGAGCAAAAAGTTATGAGCACAACCGTGAAGATCAGAAAACTCAGTATAGGGTCGGATCCAACTGAATCCGGTCCGAATCAAGACAGCTGAGCTCGAGCCCAGGAATCTGGATCCGGTCCGGATCCACCTGGAAATGGTCTGGATCCAGTCAAAAACCCTGCTTCGCGATTTTCAGCATCTGATTGAGAGGAGGACTCTTGGGAGCCGCCCTAGGGTTATAAAAGAGCCCTAGTCACGTCTTAGTACAGAGGAGAACCTTAGAGAACACTTAGATACAGATTTTTGGAGAGCTTTTGGTGAGAGAAGAATAAAAGTTCATGGGATTTCGGGAAGAAGAAGGAAGATTCGATCGTGGAGACTACACATCTGCATGAGCCTTTCTTTCATCTCTTTTATCTCTTTTCTTTTGAGCTTTTTGTTGTTTTCTATGAACCTGAGTAGATCCACGACTATGGGTTAGGGATTCGTTTGTGTTTTGGGTATGTTTGAACCCTAACTTGGATTTCGACGTTATGCTTGTTTCGCTTTATCGATCTATGCTTTCTTTTCTATTGGTGTTTGCTAATCACTTGGCCAATATTCTGAGATTCTGAATCACATAGAGATATGGATTTAGTTTCGGATCGAGATTGATGAATGAATCGTATTATTCACATAGAGATATGGTTTAATCGATTTAGGATTGATGATAGCGTTCTTCATGCATCTAGGATTAACTGGAATAGATCGAGAGATTGACGAGTTATTCTAGGTAGTGAGTTAGTAGACCGAGAGGTGAATTCTCTATTTTCGTTGCTTGACGATTCCCGAATACAAGTATGATGTCGTTATTCTCGCATGCTTAGTAAATATCCATACACGCGAATACGATCCTGACACCCGTAGTCATCCTTGTTTGATAGGTCATTCGTTTTCATTGCTTTCTTATTTTGTTTTCCATTGATTCCACATATTTTCATCATCATTTGCTTGCTTTCTTTGGTTTTGTTTCGATTAGGGATTTAGATCGAATACAAGTATGATGTCGTTATTCTCGCATGCTTAGTAAATATCCATACACGCGAATACGATCCTGACACCCGTAGTCATCCTTGTTTGATAGGTCATTCGTTTTCATTGCTTTCTTATTTTGTTTTCCATTGATTCCACATATTTTCATCATCATTTGCTTGCTTTCTTTGGTTTTGTTTCGATTAGGGATTTAGATTTAGCTACCGGTCCTTGCGTTCGAACCCGTGTTACGACGATCCGTATCCTTGCGGTGAGTTGTGAATCGGGTTATAGATTTTAGACTCGGTACACACGTATCAAGTTTTTGGCGCCGTTGCCGGGGACTGGTTAGCCTATTTCTAGGTCTTCATTGATTCTAGATCTTTGCTTTGTTTTTGTTTTCTTTTTCTTTTTGTTTTTTCTTTAGTTTTTGTGGATTCACTTGGTCTCGATTTCTTCTTTTTTCTTTGCGGTTTGCAGGGTTCTAGTGCATGACAAGGAGCTCTACTCGGAGAGAAGACCTAGTCTATGATCTAGAGATTGAGCGTACTCTTAGAGACATCCGAAATCAGCAGAGAAGAGAAACTATGTCGAGCTCGAGTAGTTCGCACGACCATCAACAAGAGCATGCGGTTCATGATGAGGAGCATCACGAGAATCAGAACCACATGAACCAAGAGCACATGAATCCACTCTACGATCAGCAGACCGAGGGTGAAGCTACTTACATT